TTAGCATGTTATCAAGTGGACAGAACTTGAGGATTGGAGATCCAGAGCATTTCAGAGGTCTGATAGGCAGGCAGTGAAGTGTATTATATAAATATCTTGGCTGACAGAATTTGGCCAAATGAAATTTAGCATTGTCATAGCAACTTTGTTTATGTGACAATCTAATTTAAGCAGATTTTGAAAAATGAATATTTTAACCAATGGTTTTTGAATTTTGTATAATACTAATAATAAGAGCAGTAGTTATCAGCAGTGGATACTTAACTTGTACCAGGTACCTTGCTAGATTTTACAGGTATTTTCATGTTTAATTCTCACAGTCAGCCTATGAGATAGGCAGCATTGTTTTCTTTCCTTTATAGATGAGGAAACTGGTAGTTTGAGATGTTAGGCTGTTTGCTTAGTTACACAGCTAATTAATAGTAGAAGGAGATTTGAACCCTGGCCAGCCCAAACCTCTTAGCCACTGTATAGTACCATTTCCTGGTATCAAGGAACCTGTTTTGTTTTATTAATTTTTTTCCTTTTACTACAAAAGTAACACTTGTTAACTCTAGAAAAATTGAAACACAGGGATTAACAGAAAACTATGCAAAATACAGTTCCTTCTGTTTAGAAACGAAGTCTATTGACATCTTTGTTCATATCTTTTTCTTTGGGGGGGCACATTGATATATAATTTTTTCTATAAAAAATGACATTTGCTAAATCTTTTAAAACCAGTTGTTAGACATTTATTCTTTTTCAATGTATTTTGTTGGGTGTTTAGCTTCTTGCAACGTTTTGATACTATATACAGCTTGCAATAAACATAATTAGCTGAAGATGATATACGGATAAAGGAAAATGAAACATGACTGAAAAACAAAAATTCACAGTGATGAGCAGTAATGCAGGAGATGCATAACTATTGTAAAATCACTCACTCTCTTTTGTATTTGGATCACCAGTACAATGAAAATCAATGACTGAGGAATGTTTGCTTTTGAATAGACCATTATGTTGAACAGCTTTCTTTTGGTTAAAGTTGAATTTTCAACAAAATCACCTAGAGCTGGTGCAGTAACCAAAATAGGACCCCAACCCCTGGGCAAAGTCCCAGGAAGGCACCTGATCCCTAAAATGTAAATGCAGGTAGTGATTTTGCTGCTGAGGAGCTCACTTCAGGGGTTGGTGTCCGACTCTGTGCGACCCCATGGACTGCAGCACGCCAGGCCTCCTTGTCCATCACCATCTCCTGAAGCTTACCCAAACTCATGTCCATTGAGTCCGTGATGGCATCCCACCATCTCATCCTCTGTTGTCCCCTTCTCCTGCCTTCAATCTTTCCCAGCATCAGGGTCTTTTCCGACGAGTTGGCTCTTTGCATCAGGTGGCCAAGGTACTGGAGCTTCAGCTTCAGCATCAGTGCTTCCAATGAATATTCAGGACTGATTTCCTTTAGGATGGGCTGGTTTGATCTCCTTGCAGTCCAAGGGACTCTCAAGAGTCTTCTCCAACACCACAGTTCAAAATCATCAATTCTTCAGTGCTCAGCTTTCTTTAGAGTCCAATTCTCACATCCATACATGACTACTATAAAAGCCATAGCACTAACTATATGGACCTTTGTCAGCAAAGTAATGTCTCTGCTTTTTAATGTGCTGTTTAAAAAGCCAGAGAATTCTAGAAAAACATCTGCTTCATTGACTACGCTAAAGCCTTTGACTCTGTGGATCACAACAAACTAGACAATTCTTAAAGAGATGGGAATACCAGACCATCTTATCTGCTTCCTGAGAAACCTCAGGAGGTATGCAGGTCAAGAAGCAACAGTTAGAGCTGAACTTGGGACAACCGACTGGTTCCAAACTGGGAAAGGAGTACGTCATGGTTGTATGTGGTCACCCTGCTCTTCAGGGGAATAAGCCACAAACTCCATAACCAGAAACCGTAGCTGAATAAAGAGAAGTAAATTTCAGGATCAGAATATTACAGCAGGGGCTTCCCTTGTGGCTCAGTGGTAAAGAGCCTACACATGCTGATGTAGGAGACAGGGGTTTGATCCCTGGTCCGGGAAGATGCCACGGGCTGCTGGAGCAGCTAAGCCTGTGTGCCACAGCTAAGGAGCCTGTGCTCTCGAGCCTGGGGGCTGCAGCTGCTGAAGCCGCTGCAGTGAGAGGCCCGGGTGCCAAATTAGAGGAAAGTCTGCGAAGCAGCAGAGACCCACATAGCCAGAAAAAAAGAATGTTAAAATAGTTATCAAAGCTAGAGGCCATGGCCGGTTAATGACAACTGGGAGTTGATGCTCAGTCCCCGAGTGTTGGGTCAGGCTCTTTAAACCCTTCTTGCCAAAGGGCAGGAGATTGGGCCTGGGGTGAGCCTGAAAGTGAAAGTCACTCAGTCGTGTCCGACTCTTTGCGACCCCAAGAACTATACAGTCCATGGAATTCTCCAGGCCAGAGTACTGAAGTGGGTAGCTTTCTTGATTTCTCCTTCTCCAGGGGATCTTCCCAACCCAGGGATCGGACTTAGGTCTCCCACATTGCAGGTGGATTCTTTACCAGCTGAGCCACAAGGGAAGCCCAAGAATACTGGAGTGGATAGCCTATCCTTTCTCCACCGGATCTTCCCAACCCAGGAATCGAACCGGGGTCTCCTGCATTGCAGGCGGATTCTTTACCAACTGAACTATCAGGGGGATGAGCCTACGGGTGGGGAAAAACACCCCAAGAGAGCTTGAGAGAGCTCCAGGGATTGGAAACCCAGCAGGTTCTGACAGCCAGAGGTTTTGAAGGAGAATGATGTAATGAAAGGTTATTGAGTGATTAAGTCAACTACGAGTAAGCAAGGAAGCAGTTTAAGAGAATGCTTCTTAAATGGCTGATGTAAAGGAGGTTCTTGTTTTGAGTATTGGTAGGAATTATATGTAAAAAGATATTTAAACATCTCCATTAAATATTTAGATTGGAGACATTCCTGTTGTGACATTCCTCTTCTTATCATAAGTTTGGAGTACAGATGGAATGTGTAGTTTTGATCCTTAGAGCTTGTAATGCTGCCATTACTTTCATTAAATTGAGGCTTTAACTGGTATATTAAAATATTTTTTATTACAGAACCCCTAAATAGGTATGCTGTGTCTTATGATTGCAGTTTAAGTTAATGCTATCGCATTTTAAAATTAAAAATTATTATCTTCTCTTGGTACTTTGAAGGTCATCATAAAATTAATGACAAATATACTGGAAAGACATTTCAATTAACTTTCTTGGATATTGATCAGATAAGCACTAAGATTTATAATTATTTTCTGAAATCTTCATTAGATGAGTCCTTTGTTGCTTTGGGTGACTGTTTTAGTAAGTACTTTCCAAACCCTGGAAAGTGTTACTTCTGAGTTAATTTAAAGAGAAATCTTCATTTTGCTGAGTTTCCACTTTGGTTTTTTGTTTAACAATTGTACAGAAATTTACTGTGTTCTTAATTAGAAATAACTTTTTTTGTGTTTCTGGAGGTATTAAATTCATGAACTTCCAAGAATCCCTAAATGTTATAGAAACTTGCATTTAATTAACTGCAGCTAATGGTTAAGATGTGCTTCATTGCTTTGAACTTTTGAATCAGTCCTCCCTTGCACAGTATTTGATAAATGTGATCATAATTTCTGTCTCATCCATGGAATTTTCTAATATTTATTATTTTCAAAATTGCAAAGAAGTCCTTGTTGTAAGAAGAAACTGAAGTAGTATTTGAAATGACTCCTCCGTCTCCCAGCCTCACAGTGATAACCGTGTAACAATCTGATACGTACTTCCCAGTGTTCCCCAGTGTTCCGGAGTTCTGCTCCGTGTACATGTGTGCATTCATTACACACCCCTCCTCCTCCTCTCTCCCCTCTCCCCCCCCCACCCCGACCCCGCGCCAGCGTAGACTCTGCGGTACTGTCCAAGGAGACAAGGCTTTGTTCTGTGCTGGACTTCACTCCCGGGCGAACTCACTGTCCTTGTTCTTTCCTTCACTTGGTCACCTTGAAAGTTCAGTAAATTCAGTCTATGCTCTACTTCTCTTTATCCTTAGCGGTCATACCAGGAGCCCTCCCAGAACAAATCCTCAACTCTGCAAAAGACAGCTATTCTGAGTGTTTCTCCTAAGGCCAGCCGGCTAAGCAGCCCCGTTCTGGCTTCCCTGGTGACTGGCCCCAGGCCCAGAGGGGCTTTGCTGATTCCAAGTATGAAGTTCTGTGGGGTTTCCCTAAGTTATTCTTTGTAGCATTCCTCTTCTCGGTCTATTATGGGTTGAGATTTCTTCTGCATTAGCAGCCCTGGCTGATGTTTGTCTCCTTGAGTTTTCTGAAAGATGGTGATACGTTGATGGTAGAACTTGTTTCTTTCTTCTGTTGCTTTGGTGGGATTTAGGTACACGTGATTACCTGGGTACACGACGCTTTGAGCCTCCCAGGTACCTAGCCTTTCTTCTGTTTTTGGAAATCCTTTCAGGGTTCATTTGCAGTTTCTCTGGTTTGTGTTATAACTTGACAGTTTTTTCCTTCTTTTTATTTTGCATTTTATATTCATCATAATTAAATCATTGATACCTCATTGCTCTCTTTTTGGGTTCAGAAATGACATCATTGCTTAACAGATTTATTTTCTACTGTATTTAGGGACCTCCACAAGGTGTTACTGCATAAAGCCAATTAACGGTGCAAAATTTATTTTTAGAAATTTAAATAATTGTCCTTATTTCATTTGTATTTCATTCTATTTCACTTGTTTCATTCATAAACATCACTATCTTTAATATATATTTATATTTTATTTGCCAGGTGACTAAATATTGTCAGTTTCCTTTTTTCAGTGTTCAGATTAAAAGATTTAAAAAAGTGATAGTAACTTTACATGAGCACATTGGACTCTATATTTTAAAATGATTTCTTATGTCAGAAATGACTTAGCATTTTTTTTTATTAGTGAGATACATTGACCCTACAACAGCATATATTTTTACTTTTGTCTTAGGAAGGAGAAAACATCTTCTATTTGGCAGTTGACGATATAGAAACAGATACGGAGCTGCTGATTGGCTGCCTGGACAGCGACATGGAGGCCGATGAGGAAGAACAGCAAATGATGACAGTGATCAGTGAAGAGGAAGGTAAACTTTCTAAAGGACAATCAACAGCTAGCAGAAAAGGTATTAACTCTAAATGGTGGGCCAGGAGAATGCAAGTTGTAGGAGAAATAAAGTTTGAAATGTGCTAGAATTATTATGGCATTGTAATAGTGTGTTCTCAAAATAAAGTTAGTTTTTGTCAGAATTTTCAGAGGGTATCCAGCCGTGAGCCTGTCTTCCAGCAGGGAGGGAATGGTGGGCTGGAGGGTGTGATGGATGTGTTCTGCAGGCTGCCGGGGTCCGTGGCAGCTCCCTGCTCTCACTGGTAGGGGACTAGTAATGGGGATTTTTGCCCTCTAGCCCTGACTTTGTTGTTCACCCATGTTGTAACCGGGCTGGTCACTGACTCTGAGGCTTTCCTTTCTCTTCTGCACGTGCGGAACGGCGAGTGCAGAGGTCCTGTCGGGCCCTGTGGGAGTTTTCCTGGGCCGCACTCTCGTTAAGACCTTTGAGAATCTGGAGCATCTGGAAATGTCTCTCCGTCTGGTTGTAGAGACCCACAGCGCTGCGGGGTTGCACTAGCAGGGTCACCGGAAACGCGCAGTGACTGGGGATGGACTTGCTTCTGTCAGCCCCGCGGTCTAGGAGATGCATGTCACTTGCTTGTCCTCTGCCAGTGGGTGACCACTTGTCATCAGGGCTTGTTTCTCTCATTTGTGTTTTACTCCTGATCGGTCACAAGGGAATTGTGAAGGGTAGGGTAGGTGTTCACGTTTTCTAAAAGACTGATCTTTTCTATAGAGTATTTTTCCTTTTGCTCAACAAAACCACTTCAGAAGTGACATGGGTTTCTTTAGTCACCATAGTATTGATGTCTTTTATGTGAATTTTCTGTTTTAATTGTATGTCATTGACTGAGAAAGTTTGAGTCTTCTCAGTATTGCCAGATTATGCCTCTGTTTAATTTGCCTGGAATATTTAAAAGGAAGACGAGGACAGGCTATCAGTTTTGTCTTTCTAATTTGCGTTATGTTATTGGGATATCAGATTTGGGGTGATGGGAATTATTTCTGTATAATTTTGTGTTCTCTTTATTTTTGTATTTATTTTCAACGCTGCCCCAAGGGTATGGTATTACTGTGTCCACCGTTTTACCTTAAAAATAAGTCTCCTACTTATTACCACCATGACTTATATAATAAAGTAACAGTTTCTTTTATAAAAAAGAATCAGTGGAAACTTAAGTAGATCTTTAGAATTTAGTTTTGTTTATAAAAGCAAAACATAAAATCCCCCAAACAAACAAAAGAACCTCCCAAAATAGATCTAGCAAAGACAAACAGCCAGCAAAGAAACAAAGAATCCACTCAAATGTCAATCAGTGGAGAGTTTGGTTAAATAAGTAAGTTATGGTACCTTAAAGTTTAAGAAAAAATTGACTTAAGAAAATACTAAATGGAAAAAACAGCTATGTATGAAACTACATAAAAAGTATGATCATAAAGGTAGCTATTGTTAGACTCTGTAAAACACTAATTCACAAAAGATAAGTCAGTCATGGAAAGAGATTACGATAGTTGTCTCTTCATTATGGGGTTATTGGTGATTTTTATTCCTTCTTATTTTCTGCATTTTATCTAAATCTAATTGTATTTGGTAATCAGGAGGCATATGTAAGTTAAATAGCGCACTTTGAAGTGTGGTATAGCCATGGCAGTCCGCGTGGGACTGCTGGCTGGAGAGACAGTGGGGCCTCACTCCGCGCGCTGGGATGAGCGCTGTGGTTACGACCCTGGTCTTTTTTCACTTACATGTGAGATTCCCCTTGGTAATTCAGCATAGTTCGCCTTGGTTGGGCTTCTCTCTCCTTGCAGCTAAAAGTGAACTCAAGATGACCTGTTTCAGGGAAGACTTTGGCTTTCCAGTTCAACGTTTGTAATAACTCTTTGATGTGAAAAAGGTTAATGTTACAGGGTAAATTGAAAGTTGATTTTGAATTGGTGAAACACAAGTTAAACGGTTTTAAAAAAAAGTTCTAGTAACACTTTCCATTATTTTTCATGGGCAGCCTATTCATGCTTATAGCGATAATAAAAATTTATTAAGCTGGTACCATTGGCACAGTTAATTTTGATTTTAAAATGAGGGCAAAGCTGAGCAGTTCTTGGCTCTTCATTTTTGTCTCATAATTCTGCTTGCTTGTAAATATGCAGATCGCTTTGGCTGTAAAGAGGACTATGCCTGTCCCCAGTGTGAATCGAGTTTTACCAGTGAGGAAATTCTTGCCGAGCATCTTCAGACATTGCACCAGAAACCCACAGAGGAGAAAGAATATAAGTGCAAGAGCTGTGGGAAGAAATTCCCAGTTAAGCAGGCTTTGCAAAGACAGTGCGTACATTAAAGATAATCTCTGAAGTTATAAGCTGACACTTTAACTCATTTATTTGGTTTGTCTTATAGTTAGTTTCTAACCTGTGTGCCTGTGTGATGGTGTGTGTATAGAAATTAAGCATTCTTTATTGTCATTGTCATTAACTTTTCTTACGTTGATTTTTCAAACATTCTGTTTATGAAGTTTAACAACTTGCCATTAAATATTAAGCTCATTGGTGTACTAATCTGAAATCTGATATGCATAATTTAGCTAGTGCTTTGAGGTGGCAGATCGCGTTTCAGTGATCTGCATGTGATACTCCCTCTGAAATCAGGTAAAAAAAAAAGTTAACGAAATGGAGAGAGTTTGGAGTATAAAGAATACAGGGACATTTTGGAAAGCACTGTTTATTTCATAGCAGTGTTGGAGAAATCACTTTAAAGATGAATATGTACAAGATATAAGGATGGAATGAATTAAATGGTCCCACCCATTGCTCGGCACCCTGTATTATTTTTACTATTTATATTAACAGCATATAAATTTATCCTTTAAGTATTTTACAGTATCATAAGTTACTAAAAATGAGAAAGTGTATACATATATTTATAAACTTTTATTTTTAACAGAATGTCACCTTGCATATGAGCAAGAAATCTTTAACATCGGCTTAATGTTTCATTTTTTATTTATTCAAGTAAAATTTTGAAACATGCTGTATTTCATATTAAAATAATTTTCATATATGTATCCACTTTTGCTTATGATATGTGAGATTAAAAATTTCTATTCAAAACTTGAAAAATTTTAACTTTTATAATGGCAGGAGATTATACATTTGGAAATTCTCATATACTTTTAAACAAGCAAAGACTATATACTTTTTAATGAATATATTTTAAAACTACATTCTAGTCAGTTTTTATTGAATTTATGTTATATAGACTACATCGAACGTACTTTTGCTGAGCTGAGTCTTACTGCTAGGTGCTACTAAAAAGTTTAAAGGGCAAAAGACAGAATAGAAACAGAGATCATGAATGTGACTTTATTCGAAGTAGAGGTATTTTCATACGTTTTTGTCCTAGACTTCCAGTTTTTTTGTTTGTTTTTCTATTTCCCCTCAGTGTTCTTCAGTGCTCAGCGAAAAGCAGTCTGAAGGATTCCTCACGAAGTTTTCAGTGCTCTGTTTGCAATTCTTCCTTCAGCTCAGCATCGAGGTTTTGTGTCTGAGTTATCAGATGGCTGTTACATGATTGTGGGTCATTATTGGCATGCATGCTTTCATGCTTCTTAGTGATTTAGTATCATATGGCTACAGAATCTCAGTGCTTTCCTTCCTCCCTGCCTAGGTAATGCTTATAATGACCCTGAAGCTCTCCTGTGAGCATGCATTACAAAAGCCAGCCAGGATGATAGAAATGAATAGGTGTCTTCACCATTTCTTCTCCCTGTTCCCCTGTCCTGCTTGTCTTGCAGTTTTGAACAGCACCAGGAGACGTGCCAGGGAGATGCCAGGTTTGTGTGTAAGGCAGACAGCTGTGGGAAGAGGCTGAAGAGCAAGGAAGCCCTGAGGAGACACCAGGAGAATGTTCACACCGGTGAGGAGTCATCAGAGGACCATGTTTAAAGGGGCCTCCTCTCCCCAGGCTGCTGCGGTCTGTTCTTAATTCTCACTCTCAAGGACAGAGCTTGCTTTTCCATTGTATTTCACACAGATGTAGATCTCTGGAAGTGGAATTTTTTTCTTTCACTGAACATTATTTCTTTTTAAGTTGATTTCAGTGATAGTCATCATTTTTCCCATTTCTGAATTAATCATAACTGGAAACCTAAGCTAGGATCTGTTTGTGCTTGGTAGCCAGGTGTATTAAGAATTAATATTTTAAGTAGTAATTTTAGTGCTTCAGCATGTGAAATTTCTCTTATAGTAGATACATTTAAAAACTACATATTTAAAAACTTCTAACTGATGGCTCTTCTGCCTTAATATTTTCACAGTAAAATTTCATTTTTTAAAAAACTCTTACATTTCTCCTGTATTTGAGAAAATTACTGGCTATGTTTTGACATGCAAATTGAATATGTTTGGATTTATAAAGCAGATACAATTTGAATTTTTTCTAACGGCCAGCTAAACAATAGCTAAACAGTTAGAAGCTTTGTTACTTAGGTTTCATCTGCCTAGCACACAGTAAATGCATTTTGGTTTAGGGGTTGAATCTGTTGCACTAAACTGGACAGATTAATACTTTTGGAGTTAATGATTTGTTTCCTCAGTGTCTTTTCCCTAAAGGAGACTGAGGTTCACGGCACTTCTCATATCTTTCTGTACTGATATTTTTCTCAGGTGATTACTATTACTGTTGGCTTAAGGGTGGAAATATCTTTCTGGATAGGAGGAAAGTGTTATTTCTTTTCTTCTATCCTGTTTATTCTCACATGCAGGGGAAAAGAATAGTTGGAACTCAGCTTCTGTTTCCTATATTTATTCAGTGTCCAAAAAGTGTCTTCTTTAAAGCTAGTTGGGAAAGCTTGTGTGAGCATGACTCCTGGGTCCCACCTCACGTCACCGGTTTGGGCTGACTCTGAGTACCAGCCATGTGTGAAAACTCAGGGTGGCAGGAGGTATGGCCTTGTGAAATACAGCTTCAGAAGGATGTGCAGGACTTAGACTTCACAGTGTCCTGACTCCTCTCTCTCCTTCTGAATGATACCATGTAGAGAAGGTGGCATTTTTCTGAATTCTTTATACTTGGGCCTTTTCTGTGTTTGCAAAGGGCAGTCATAACTTTTTGATAGACCTGTCTCTTCATAGTTTTTGCCTTTTAGTAGCTGTTATGGTTTAAAATGCTGTTCTTAATTTCCCCCATCTTTGTCTGCAGTGTATTATAACAAATCTTTTATGTCATTTTTAAAGTTAACTTTGCTGAACTAAGTAAAAAACCAGATGCACACTAAAACTCTGGAAACTTACATTCTTGTTATTCGGCATGTGGTCTTCAGACTGTGCTATAAGCATAATTTCTTTAAGACTTCTTGTAGTTGGTCTTGGATATTAAAATATTACTGATTCTGAAAACTCATGGTGATTTTGTAGGAGTGAATTTATAAAGGGAAGTTTTTTATTTTTCTATGTTGTGGATTCTATAAAATATGAAACTTCCTGTATTTTGGCCAAAGGCCACATGCATACTTTTTGCTGGAATTGGTACACAGGCTGCCTCTCATTCATAGCCTCTCTCTTGCTTCTTCTCTTTTGTCTGTGAACTACATGGACATTTGGGGAAAGAATATTCCATATTTAGAGTAATGAAAAAAGCAGTGTTTGTACATATGGTTGTAGAGGCTGTTACTCTAGAAAGACAAAGGTATTCAAGGAAAGAGAAGGTCATGCAGCTTTACCACTGACAAGGACAAATGTTCCTTGTTAGGTGATATGAATTTAAGATACTGAGAAGAGAGAAGCTGAATTTTTAAATATGAATCACATTTTTCCATAGCAACTGTAACATATGGTGGGTAGTTTCTCAGACCAGCTCCTGGAAGCACACTTAACCCACATTGTGCTGAAACTCACAATACTTAAGTAACTGTGTATTCAGTATTGTTGAATTAGTTTTTCTTGCATCTCCCACATTTGTTAGTAATGTGTTCCTGCTGTTTTTGAAAGCTGAATTGGAAAGTGAAATATCAGACTTACCTGAATATAGTAAACTAAAGTGGCATAAAGTCTGGTTGTAGCTTCATAGTTGCTCTTGACCTTGACCCTGGGGAAACTTGTAGGGTGGTGTCCTTTCCAGTTACTCAAGAGGAAGCAGTGAGGGTGTTGATCCCCTTAACCCACCTTAACCATCTTAGCCATTTTTTCTCTTTTGATTTGATTCAGTGGTTGATGACCAAGAGATTTTTATTTTACAGGAGATAACATTTACTTACATTCTCAGGCAAACAGTCATAAACTCTCCCTGTTTTTCTTCTGAGGACTAGGATTCTGGTTCTGGGGTAAAGACTAGAGGCCATGAGGAGGAGAGAAAAGGTTGAAGAGGAGGGATGGTATGTTCCCTCTGACTCCAGTGGCAGAGCGGTGGCAGCAGTGTTGGGAAAGGTGGGGTGGGTGATCATGGAAATCTCACTTCTATCACTCTTCTCTCCCTCAAGCCTGACCTCGCTGGTGGGAAAGAAAAAAGGTCTAAACTCAGAGAGCAGCTGGTTTAAGGGGTGAGCAGGGACAGCAGAGGACTGTGGGGTTGTTGTGCTATTCAGATACTCAGTTATGGCCACTCTTTGCGACCCCATGGACTGCAGCAGGCCAGGCTCCCCTGCTTCCATGGTCTCCAGGAGTTTGCTCGAACTCAAGTCCAGTGAGTCGGTGATGCTGTTCAACCATCCTCTGTTGTCTCCTTTTCCTCCTGCCTTCAATCTTTCCCAGCATCTGCCAGGGTCCAGCCTTGGCAGGAGCCAGGGGTACCCTCAGGGTGAACGGCGTCGGCGAGAGAGAGACACACCAGACTAGGGGTGTTTGCAGGGTCTGGCCATGCTTTATTTTTTACCATAGCTTTTATACCCTAAGTTAGTACATTTCTAAGGGGAAGATAGTTTAACATTACATCAGCTTGTCCTTCACGAAACCAGGGTGTTTTCTGCATACTTCTTTGTTTATGAGGGTGTTGTACATTATCTTCTGGCCTTGAGGCCTATTGACATTTTATGCAAGTCAGGTGAATGTAAACCTATTTTTCATTTCTGTGGTGATCTTAACAGAAAAGTTGCAGTCTCTTAGGGCAACAGTACGGCATGTCACAACATAGTAGAAGTATAACCTTGTTAACACAAAGGTCAATTCTTTTGCAGAAGTTTGTCAGTTGAATTTATCTAAAAGGTTTATCCCATACAGACTCTGCAGCTTCGGTAAGGCAGCCTCTGCCTAGCACTCCTGGCTAACAGTTAACAACCATCTCATTGTAACCACACTAGGGCTAAGCTCTTATTTTTCTAGATCTATAACTATATTAACAATGGTTTCCACTGCACAACCTTAGCACATTAAGAGCAAAAATACAGCAAGCAAACGTTAACCCAATAACCACTTTTAGCATAATTTTTCTTGTGTTTTCTAATAGGGCTTTCTCACCCCCCGAAGGGTTCTATGTCTATTAGGGCCTTTATATGATCAGGTTCTTTATGCTATTTTATGATTAGGGTATTATGAGCAGTCATGCATATTAGTACCAAGGGCATAAACGCATTTGCTAAACAAACTAGAATGCCAGCAAAGGAGTTTAAATTAAAACACTCCTTTCACCCTGGATAATCTCATAAGATACCGCCACCCGGGAGATGTACTGATTAAAGTTCCAAGTTGATTCTTATTTGGAGAGAGATCGGGGAAGGCCTTCTGCCTATGTCACAGAAATTAGGGAGTAGTCTATTAAAGCAAGCATCAGAAAGACAGATATCATCTTTAAGGTGAGTGCCGGGGGCAGCTTTTCGAAATCCTTGGAATCCTGATCTGCCTTGCTTGTCAGGTTTCCTCCTCAGGACCTTGTCATGGGTGGGATCTCGTGTGCTGGCTCCTGGCAAGCATCAGGGTCTTTTCCAGTGAGTCAGACCTTGGCATCAGGTGGGCAAAGTATTGGAGCTTCAGCTTCAGTATCAATCCTTCAAATGAATAGTCTGGATTGATTTACTTTAGGATGGACTGGTTTGATCTCCTTGCAGTCCAAGGGACTCTCAAGAATCTAATCCAACACCACAGTTCAAAAGCATCAATTCTTTGGCACTCAGCCTTCTTCCTGGGCCAGTACTCACATCCATATATGACTATTGAGAAAACCATAGCTGTCACTATATGGAGCTTTGTCGGCAAAATGATGTCTCTGCTTTTTAAAACACTGTATCAGTTTGTCATAGCTTTTCTTCCAAGAAGCAAGTGCCTTTTAATTTCATGGCTGCAATCACTGTCCATAGTGATTTTGTAGCCCAAGAATATAAAAGCTGTGACTATTTCCATTTTTCCCCTTCTATTTGCCATGAAGCGATGGGACCAGATGCCATGATCTTTATTTTTTGAGTGTTGAGCTTTAAGCCAACTTTTTCAGTCTCTTCTTTCACCTTCATCAAAAGACTCTTTAGTTCCCTTTAGCTTTCTGCCATAAGGGTGGTATCATCTGCATAACTGAACTTATTGATATTTCTCCCAGCAATCTTGATTCCAGCTTGTGCTTCATCCAGCCCAGCATTTTGCATGATTTACTCTGCATGTTAAGTTAAATAAGCAGGGTGACAATATACAACCTTGACGTACTCCTTTCTCAGTTTAGAACCAGTCAGTTGTTCCATGTCTGGTTCTAACTGTTGCTTCTTGACCTGCATGCAGGTTTCTCAGGAGACAGGTCAGGTGGTCTGGTATTCCCATTTCTTTCAGAGTTTTCCAGTTTGTTGTGATCCACAAAGTCAAAGGCTTCAGTGTAGTCAATGAAGCAGACTTAGATGTTTTTCTAGAATTCTTTGGCTTTTTCTATGATCCAGTGGACATTTACAATTTGATCTCTGGTTCCTCTGCCTTTTCTAAATCCAGCTTGTGCATCTGGAAGTTCTTGGTTCACATACTTTTGAAGCCTCACTTGAAGGATTTTGAGCATTACCTTGCTAGCATTTGAAATGAGTGCCTTTGTGTGGTAGTTTGAACATTGTTTGATATTGTCTGTCTTTGGGATTGTAATGAAAACTAACCTTTTCCAGTCACATGTCCACTGCTAAGTTTTCCAAATTTGATGACATATTGTGTGCAGCACTTTAATGCATCATCTTTTATGCAAACTGGAAAAGAGGGTATATTCTTTCTCAGTGGCCCTTCATGTTTTAATAGATATGTATAAGGAATTGATGACCAAATGCATGCTGTAAGATACTCATTTTGCTCAAGAGAATTTTCTCCTTTATTGGCCATATTACTTGTCAATCACCAAGAAAAATTTTCTTGGCTGTACTATTTAACATGTTAAAAATAGTGCATTATATGAAATAAGTATCTTGAATGATGACAACAATTAATATTTTACTTTTTCTGAAGGTATTCCTCTCCCATAAACACAATCTTTTAAAAAAATTATTTTGTTAGCTTGCTTTCTACTGATTTTAGATTTCTTGCAAAAAAAGAGAGAAGGAGAGGACTGGATAGGGTTGAGGTTGTGGCGGGAATAGGCATGGATTAGTCATTTGGGGGCCAAGTGATGGATGCATGGTAGTTCATTTTATTAATTTTTTATCAATTATTTGAAATCAATTAAAAGTTGAAAAAATATCCCATGGTTATATATATGATATTGTTATTACATTGTATTTGAAAATCCTGTTTTATTCATTCTTTTGTTTTCTATAACCACTGTGAAATTTGAAACGACCTACTATAATTATAATCACTATGAAGAAGACAAAAATTGAGCTTTGTAGGATTTGTATAATACGAATGTCAAGTACTGTTTTACTATTCTTGATCTTACTTTATTCTGGTTTTTAACATTAATGTGGTTAATAATATACTCAATGATCTTGCAAGCTTGTAGTGCTAAAAAGAAATAACTTATGAATTCCATTTTTAAAAACCCAGCTGAATAAATAAAATATTCTGTTACAATATAAAGCAAGTGGCAAAATCAGCTTATGCATGAATAAATCCAATGTTTTATGTACACATTTGATTAATTTTAACTTTTCATGGAAGTGTGCTTTACTCTTTTAATACTAAATTGGTATATGCAGAGGTGAAAAGCCCATGTTGTATATGTAGAAAGTAGTATTCCAAGCTAAATAGTACTCAGATTTTTTAAAGAAAAGTTTAAAAACATAGCCTATTGTTTATCTGAATTTAATGGATATATTTACAAAACTGACAATTTTGGAGTTACAAGTGAAGAAGATTAAATACCCTTTTAGAAATTATATATCACCTAGAAACACTTATCTAATGCTCCTCTTAATAGTTTCATGTAAATCACGGTGGTATTTTATTTTATTTCATTTGTGTTTTTCTTTAGGGGATCCTAAGAAAAAACTCATATGTACAGTGTGCAATAAAAAGTGTTCTTCAGCTTCAAGCCTGCAGGAACATAGGAAGGTCAGTAAAATAAAGACTAATGTTCATCATAGTTAAGATCTTTAGTCATAGTGTCTGCCAGGAAAAATATTAATTGCTTTATATATTGTGAAGACAGAGGTTTGTCATTAATTTTATTAGCTTAGCTGGTAAAGAATCTGCCTGCAGTGCAGACCTCAGTTCGGTTCCTGGGTCAGGAAGATCCCCTGGAGGAGGGCATGGTAATCCACTCCAGTATTCTCGCCTGGAGCATCCCATAGACAGAGGAGCCCGGTGGGCTCCAGTCCATGGTGTCACAGAGTCGGAAACGACTAAGCGACTGGGCACACCCTGTACACTAAAAAGCAAGACTGATACACAGAAGAGCCAGCTCTTGCCAAAGAATATTGTGAGTTGTTTGCTGTTACTCAGAATAAGTAGAAACATTACTGCAATGCAGTATAGTGTCTGAGTCCTTCATTACAACACCTCATCCTGGTTTCATGCTTCACCAGTTGCTATTTGCTCAGGAAATATTATATATTTGAGGAAACCACAATATTTTTGTGTATTTATAATATACTCTACAGTGATGTTTAGCCTGAAATATATGTGTATTATATTTAAGTCTGGCACAACAAAGACAAGAGCTCTGTTATTTTGAAGAGCTTAAAGTAATGCAGAAAAATGTCAGAGTGTTGTCAGCGGAAACAGATGATTGTGCAGTTGAGCCTTGCGTAGCACAGGTCCGAGCCGTGCTGGCCCACTGGCAGCATTTTTCAGTTACACATACTCCAGTGCTGTAGTCAGGGCTTGGCTGAGTTTGCAGATGCGGAGGGCCCGCTGTAAGGTTACACAGTGTTCCCACTGAAAGGGGAGGTGAGGAGGCATGGGAATCGGGGTGCCGTGGGTGTAACCCCCAGGCCCCTCTGTTGTTCAGTGGTCAACTGTATTAGGAGAAAAGACTAATACATTTTGTAATAAATGTAATACAGTTTACTAAGTTACTATTTTAATATGAAAGCTAACCTGAAAAAAATGGCAGCTATTAACCCTAACAGCGTTAGCACTTGTTAATCAAATTTATGACAAAATAGAGTTAAAATAGAATTTAGACTTTTGTTCATATAATGGGAGAGTCCAAAAATTTATTTTATATATTACTATAACAAAGATACAAATGATTATTTCCTGATTTCACATATGAGTTTTTCAGAATATCTATGAGCATATGATACTGTCTTTTAATCATTTAATACTAAAGAAAAGGAGATGGTACCAGTGGAAGTGATATTTTCCATTATAGTTTATAAATTGAATTTTGTCTCTTTGTTTCTATATAGATATATTCCAAAATAACTTGACAGATCTTAAAATGCATATGATATTCAGTGCAATATCTTCAACCATTTAGGCTGTGGATTTAACCTCTAACACATAAGGTAGTTAAATTATTAAGATGTCTAGGGTTATATCCTGCATGTTCAGTGATTTTGATCTTCAGGGAGAAACAATGGAACGAGCAGTGGGCAGAGTGAGGACTGTGGATGTCGCATTCCTTCACTGACCCTCCGTGTAGCCTTGGGCCTCTCGTTAAGTGTGACATGGAACTGATCGGTGTTTTCCAGTTTCCTGAGTGCCATGAAACTACTGTGTTTATTCAGTTTCCAAGTGGTTATCTTATCAGGTTGTTTAAAAACAGAGAGTACTTGAGGAATTGACATATAATTCTTATTTGAGGGCCATTCTCTATCATTCCAAATTTAGCTTAAGTGCTACTGAAGGAAGCCCTGAAGCTACTTTCTTAAAGTTCAGCGCAGAAGCCAATACAGGTACTGCTGCTTCTATGTCTCTCTTTCTCCCCATCACCCTTAAAGCTTCTGAAGCAGAACCTAGTCCGAGACCAGAAGTGTAAAATCCAGCTGAATAGACATTTTCTGAATGTCTTCATGGTTCTAGAATTCTTTGTTTTCTTTCCCTGATTTTAGAAAGTTGAAAATTAAGATATCTTACCAAAGTTAAGATTTTGCCAAGTAGAATATTTCAACAAAGTTGGTTTTGGGACATAATTCTGAATAATGTCCTCTTCTCCATTTATATTCTTCATAATACAAAGAAGATTTCCCCGGGGAATATCTCTATAGACAGATACAGTCTCCAAGTGGTCTCTGCAGAATATTAGTAACTTGGTAGCTCAGTATAGCTCTTTGTCCATCACAGCATCGCTCCTTTGACTTATTCTGAATCCACAGACAGCTTCTACAGATTCCATTTTTGAGTCTATTCTTATCGTTGTTGCTCTTTAGTCGCTAAGTTGTGTCCTATTTTTGCAACCTCATGTACTGTAGCCCACCAGCCTCCTCTGTCCTGGCATTTCTGAGGCAAGAATACTGAAGTGGATTGCCATTTCCTTCTCCAGGGAATCTTTCCAACCCGGGGGTCAAACCCTCATCCCTTGCATCTCTTGCATTGGCAGGCGGACTCTTTACCTCTGAGCCAACAGGGAAGCCCCATTTTTATAGTTGGGTATGTCTAATAGCTACTAGAATTTGGTGCCGGTATTTCACCTTAACAGCAGACGATGATCTATGCATATGCCACATTTACATTATAGTCTAGACTCAGCATTCAAAAAACTAAGGTCATGGCATCCAGTCCTATTACTTCATGGCAAATAGATAGGAAAAAAGTGGAAACATTGATAGATTTTATATTCTTGGGCTCCAAAAATCACTGAAGATGGTGACTGCAGCCACGAAATTAAAAGATGCTTGCTTCTTGGAAGAAAAGCTATGACAAACCTGAGTTCAGTCACTCAGTCATGTATGACTCTTTGCAACCCCATGGACTGCAGCACGCTAGACTTCCCTGTCCATCACCAAATTTGCTCAAACTCACGTCCATTGAGTCAGTGATGCCATCCCGCAATCTCATCCTTTGTTGTCTGCTTCTCCCCCTGCCTTCAATCTTTCCCAGCATCAGGGTCTTTAAAAAGAGTCAGCACTTCCCATCAGGTGGCCAAAGTTTTGTAGTTTCAGCTTTAGCATCAGTCCTTCCAGTGAATATTCAGGACTGATTTCATTTAGGATTGACTGGTTGGATTTCCTTGCAGACCTACAGACCCTCAAGAGTCCTCTCCAACTCCAGAGTTCAAAAGCATCAATTCTTCGGTGCTCAGCTTTCTTTGTAGTCCAACTCTCACAAGTCATCCATACATGACTACTGGAAAAACCATAGCATTGACCGGATGGACCTTTGTCAGCAAAGTAATGTCTCTGCTTTTTAATATGCTGTCTAGATTGGTCGTAACATTTCTTCCAAGGAGCAAGTGTCTTTTAATTTCATGGCTGCTGTCACCATCTGCAGTGATTTTGGAGCTCCTAAAAATAAAGTCTGTCACTGTTTCCCCATCTATTTGCCATGAAGTGATGGGACCAGATGCAATGATCTTAGTTTTCTGAATGTTGAGTTTTAAGCCTGGTTTTTCACTCTCCTCTTTCACTTTCATCAAGAGGCTTTTTAGTTCTTCTTCACTTTCTGCCATAAGGGTGATGTCATCTGCATATCTGAGGTTATTGATATTTCTCCTGGCAATCTCGATTCCAGCTTGTGCTTCTTCCAGCCCAGTGTTTCTCATGATGTACTCTGCATAGAAGTTAAATAAACAGGGTGACAATATACAGCCTTGGTGTACTGCTTTCCTATTTGGAACCAGTTTTTTGTTCCATGTCCAGTTCTAACTGTTGCTTCCTGACCTGCATACATGTTTCTCAGGAGGCAGGTAAGGTGGTCTGGCATTCCCATCTCTTTCAGAATTTTCCACTGTTTGTGGTGATCCACACGGTCAAANCATTCAAATGGGAATATCTTTCCTTTTCTTCTTTGCTTTTCACTTCTCTTCTTTTCTCAGCTATTTGTAAGGCCTCCTCAGACAGCCATTTTGCCTTTTTGCATTTCTTTTTCTTGGGGATGGTCTTGATCACTGCCTCCTCTACAGGGTCATGAACCTCTGTCCATAGTTCATCAGGCATTCTGTCTATCACATGTAACCCCTTGAATCTATTTGTCATTTCCCCTGTATAATCATAAGGGATTTGATTTAGGTCACCTGAATGGTCTAACGGTTTTCCCTACTTTCTTCAATTTAAGTCTGAATTTGGCAATAAGGAGTTTGTGATCTGAGCCACTGTCAGCTCCCAGTCTTGTTTTTGCTGACTGCATAGAGCTTCTCCTTCTTTGGCTGCAAAGAATATAACCAGTCTGATTTCAGCAAACATAGCATATTAAAATAGGGGAGACATCACTTTGCTGACAAAGGTCCTTACAGTAATATCTATCGTTTTACCAGTAGTCTTGTACAGATGAGAGTGTTGGACAGTAAAGAATGGTGAGCATCGAAGAATTGATGTTTTCAAACTGTGGTTTGTGGAGAAGTCTTGAGAGTCCCTTGGACTGCAAGGAGATCAGACCTGTCAGTCATGGAAGAAATCAACCTTGACTATTGGAAGAACTGACTATGTGTCTGAAACTCTAGTACTTTCTCCACCTGATGCCAAGAGCTGACTCACTGGAAAAGACCCAGATACTGGGTAGATGGAGGGCAGGAGGAGAAGAGGGTGGCAGAGGAGGAGATGGTTGGATGGCAAAAGTGACTCACTGGACATGAGTTCCAGCAAACTCCGGGAGATAGTGAAGGATAGGGAAGCCTGGCATGCTACAGTTCATGGGGTCATGAAAAGCTGGACACAACTTTGACTGAACAACAACTAGACTAATACCTTGTATTAAATGTGTGCTGTCCTGTATTACAATAAGATATAGTATGATCCTTCTTGGAATTTATTTAATTTGGGACATCAGATTATGAGTTATTATTCTCCATATCAATTTAGTAAGCTATAAACATTTTATTTTAAAATGCTTAGCATTAGGCATAATTAATATCATTGTCACTTTAAATCTGTTCTATTAAACTTTTATAGGAGTTTTGAAAATAGCTTTGGTTGAGTTTTCCATTATGAATAAGAGAGTCAACACATAAGTGCTTTCATGTAAATATTGTATTTTATAATTTTGGAAATATCAAGGTTCAGTTCAGCCCTTAAAAATGTTTCATGTTTTGAAAGCTGTGAGAGTTAAGTAAACAAGTATATTTTGAAGTAATTTAAGAGCTGCCATTTTTGTATGGATAAAAAATTTAAAATTTGTATATACTAATATGAATAGAATATTGAAAATTAAAATAAACTAAATATGTTTTCATTTATGTATGTCTCAGAAGGCATGTCATGATTTTGTAGCTTGTTATTATAAAAGATATATGTTACAGAGTTTAAGAATATGAATCTGTTCTTACTATCTTTAATTAAACATTACACTTCATATCATGGCTGTGAGGATCTTTGATGGTTGAAGATGTACCCTTTAAAATTTCTTAGACTGAAGGCTTCCCTTCTATACTGTGTGGTCCTTGCCTTCTGAGTACTTGTATACAAGTCCACACTGTTTTCAGAGGAACCATAGGACCCTGGACCCTGTACATCTCCCTTCAAGGTTAGAAGCCACCGCATATAGGCAAGGATCTAAGTCAGGGTCCAGTGGAATGATGTCATCCTGCTCCGTCTTGTTGTTTTATCTTTTCTCTGCTTTTCCCATTTCTGTTCACTGACTCGCCAAGAATCAGACCTGACAGAAGCAGAAGGCTGATGGCAGCCTCAGACCGCGGTGTGGTTGGGTATAGGATTAAGGCTCACACCGCAGACTAGGGACCTGTCAGCCTTGTGCCAGCTTCTGTTTCCCTTCCTGTGCCGTCTTCTGCATGTCCCTGTCTTGAGTTCTTCTGTGGTCACTTAGGTGAAGGGAGCCGTTTTCCAGTCCTCCTCTCTTTAGTCATTGCTGTACCAATTCAGGGCCTTCTCTTATGAGTTTTACTCTGTAGTGGCCCTTAGATATTCTGCAAGGATAGCCAGAATATCCTGCAGAGGGGCCAGTGCTTGTATGGGGTTTAGTTTTGTGAGCTCTACCTTGAATGAGTTTGAAAAACACGACTTCACCAAGATGATTTTTCAGTCTTTAGCAAAACAGTAGGATGCTCGTCTTCATTAGGATGATCAACAGTTCTAATATAAGGCTGCTTGCAGCACATTGCTCTTTTTACATAGTTATGATAACAAACGAAACTTCTACTTTTTGTACTGCCTATCCAGTTTTTCTAATTTAGTATCTGGGAGAGAAAGAGCCGAACTTAGTTGTAACCTTTATTTAGCTGGTTGATTGCTAAAGTTACACCCCTTATATATATATATTTTTGATGAAACTCATAAAAACTAATAAAACATGAAGATTTTTAGCCTCCTGTCCCGTGGGAGTATTGTTGTGAGCTACACTCAAGTTTTCAGAATCATATCTTTGTCTTTCATGGTAATTAATATTTAGATCTTTACTACATATGTTTAAGTTTTAAGTAGTGTTGACTACTGGAAAGGGAATATTTTTAGTGGCAAGTTTTTCCATTCCATTTTCATATCCATTCCAAATATGCCAAATTTTGGCATATTTCCAAGTCTAAATTTGTGTATAACAGATTTAATATATATTGGGTATAATTTTTTGCAGAGTATAAACTTTTTATGTACTTCAGAAATAGGTCATCTGTTTTACATATTTAAGTACCATACAGTTTTACGTTTTTTAATGATCATGTTCTACTAGGTAACTTATGTTCATTGCATTTTCAGTTTCTTATATAGGGTGATATGAACAAATCAGGGCCGAATTATAATGCACAGTTTAGATATTGTAATGGCAACTGTCCACATGTTTATACTTGAGCGCTATACAATTTTGTGGCTCGGCCAATTGAGTTAACTGTTAATTTAACCTTTTGCAGATTCATGAGATATTTGATTGTCAAGAATGTATGAAGAAATTCATTTCAGCAAATCAGCTAAAGCGTCATATGATCACCCATTCAGGTAAAACACATATTTTCCCATTTTTATTGAAATCAGTACAAAAGCTTCACCTTGTCACTTTTAGGAGCTCTGAGAGGGGGATAATCAGGAGACCTGGCTATTAGTTCTGGCTCGGCCACTGACTTACCATGTAATTCTGAACAAGTTACTTAACTTCTCTAGACCTTAGTTTATTTCTGAAGCAAATGTGGTTGGACTAAATGAAATGAAAAATCTTCAGATTTATCATTTAATTTGTTATGTACTCCTGCAACTGAGGCTGAAACTCCAATACTTTGCCCACCTAATGCAAAGAGCTGACTCACTGGAAAAGACCCTGATTCTGGGAAAGATTGAAGGTGGGAGGAGAAGGGGACAACAGAGGATGAGATGGTTGGATGGCATCACCAACTCAATGGACATGAGTTTGAGCAAGCTCCGGGAGATGGTGAAGGACAGGGAAGCCTGGCGTGCTGCAGTCCATGGGGTCGCAGAGCATCAGACACGACTGAGCGACTGAACAGTAGCAACAAACCCTCCTTGAGCCTTAGTCTCTGTGTTCTTCATCTGTGTAAAGGTGTCCTACCTTTCAGAATTGCTGTGAAGGTTAAATGAGGTCATCCACGTACCCTGCTACCAGAGTGTGTGACGTTTAGCAGGGATTCAATAATTAGAATCCCAACATTTCTAGATATATTCACATTGTAACTGCTGCTGCTGTTAAGTCACTTCAGTTGTGTCCGACTCTGTGCAGCCCCATAGACGGCAGCCCACTAGGCTCCCCCGTCCCTGGGATTCTCCAGGCAGGAACACTGGAGTGGGTTGCCATTTCCTTCTCCAGCGCATGAAAGTGAAAAGTGAAAGTGAAGTCGCTCAGTCGTGTCCAACTCTTAGCGATCCCATGGACTGCAGCCCACCAGGCTCCTCCGTCCATGGGATTCTCCAGGCAAGAGTACTGGAGTGAGTGCCATTGCCTTCTCCTACCTTGTAACTAAGGTACAAATAGATGTTAATGAGAAATTTATGAATGAATTTTGAGAATCTTAAGTTTTCAAAGTTGTGATTTCATTTTAAGCAGCTTTGAATGAGAGGTCTGTTATACTGACTAAAAACAACCAGCTCTGAAAGTAACGTTTGCTTAATGAAGTCTCTGAAGTTTAGAATATCTGTACTTTGAGGCCACTGAAGTCAGGATGTTTTTGAATGGCCACTTTATCTGGAGACAGACACATATTTTTGGCAAATGAAAATAGAAGATCAAAAACCAGTGGCCTTCAGATACACTTTGCTTGAAAAATCTGGTTGTCAACATTACATGGATTTTGTACACACATGGATTTTGTACAACAACCTGCGTGTGTACTTCCTGCTGAGACTAGAAGCGTGGCCTCACGGGCCCCTTGGCCGTGCAGGAGGCAGGTCTGTCCTCTAGCTCCATGTCTGTCAGACCACGCGCCCTTCGTGTCCGGAGCTGTAACCCTGACTTCAGCTCAGACCAGTCAGCAGGGTTTTCATCTGGAAGTAGAATTTCTTCCTTGAATTAAAGCTTCATCTTCATATCTAAGCTACTTTATACATTTAGTTGGCAGAATATGTCAGTAAAAGAGCAAGCTCATGTTCTGTGAGTTTTGAGTTGGCTCACATATCTAATGGATTGGGTAATAGACTTTTTTCCAGTTGTTTGAATGATATTTTTGTTGACTTGTCCGTAAGAATTAATAATGCAAGGAAGGCTGTTTCCCTTTTTGTCCTTTACCTGTATAGATATGAGATTGTTTCCACTCATTTTTTAAACAGAAAAACGACCCTATAATTGTGAGATTTGTAATAAATCTTTCAAGAGGCTTGACCAAGTGGGTGCCCACAAAGTGATACACAGTGAAGATAAACCTTACAAGTGCAAGCTCTGTGGAAAGGGATTTGCTCACAGAAATGTTTACAAGAATCACAAGAAGGTAAAAGCCTGTTAATACTGTTATAAATATATTTGCTGATTGGTCGATAAAATTATCAGTTGTTTATCTTTTAAAGAAGTTTTTGGATATCTGAGGCATATCTGAGGCTGTACATATGAAATAATTGGAGAATATTTTGCTTCTGCTTTCTAACCACTCAGGCCATCACCACTGTGGTTTTGTATCTGTCTAATTCTTTTCTGAAATTATTCTAACAAGCAAAGTGTTATCCAGTGTTTTCCAGCATTGTAATAATTGCAAAGTCTTCTCTTCCTTCTTTCTTTTAAAGTTTGACATTCTTGTTCATATTACCATTTGGAAATCCTCTTTGTCTGTGGCGCCATTTTAGCAACTTTGCTAGGTTTTCTGCCAGTTTCTCTGAACCTGTCTTTGGTCTCTGAGTTCCCAAGGGATTATCCTGGATGCTTTGGCTGTAGGCTTATTCTGTGTCCTCTATGTCAACTACATCTATTAATTATGATGTAAACTCTGTACTTATGAATTCCAAATGATTTATTTTGTTAATCTCAAGCTTTAGACTCCCACTTATCACTACTCATTTGATATATAACTGGGCATCTTTTTGACCTAATGAATTTAGCATGCTCCGGATAATGGTTTCCCTGGTGGCTCAGTGGTGAAGAATCTGCCTGCAATGCAGGAGCCCTGGTTTCAATCCCTGGGTCGGGAAGATCCCCTGGAGAAGGAAATGGCAACCCACTCCAGTATTCTTGCCTGGAGAATTCCATGGAAAGAGGAGCCTGGCGGGCTGTATTCCATAGGGTCACAAAGAATCTGACACAATTGAGTGACTAACACACATGGGTAACTTCACTTTTGCAAGTGTCTGTTAATTTCTGTTAATGACAAAAGCATGTATTTATCTCTATCTCTTTCTTTAATTTTAACCCCGTTTTAGAATTAGTGGCTAATTCTTAAAGATTCTGCCCTCTCCATTGTCTTACCATCTTCATAATCATTGCTTTACCATTTTGACATCCTGGTCCTGTCTCATTTTCATCACTTTAATAGCTATTTCATTCAGCTTCTTGTTATTTAATCACTTCCTTCTTATTCAGAGAACTAGATGAATCGTCCCAGATCACAGCTCTATCACGCTGTACTCTTAATATTATAAGTAGATTTCCAGCACTTATGTACAGTCTGTCTTCTTTTCCCTGTCACTCGGGGTTCTCTGCACCATGATCCCAGCTTCCTTTTCCAGCTTTTTGTTCTCCTGTTTTCTGCACGAGCCATATCAACGCAGTATGACCTCTCTAGCTTCTCAGCATGATCTCCCTAGCTTCCCCATTCCCTCCTTTGTAGTAAAACTCTCAAGTTATAATCTCTTATTTCGTCTATTGATTTTTGTTTGCATTTCCTACACTTTACCATTACTCAAGTTCTTGTTTCAGAATGTTAGTTTTATCTAATCTATTTTCTGGAGATAGTAAATAGTGTTTGAATTGAACTCAGGAAATCTGTGCAAAGATAGTCAACATCTTAGAAATGTGTGTTTAAATTTGTGATGTGATAAACACTTTTTTATTAATTTTGGTTGACATATTTCATGATGGTATTAAGCAACAGACATATATGTTTTCAAAGAACTTCTTTTTATTTGCAATATTCCATTGTAATTATAGTTATTTTAGTATTTATTGGGACTTTCCAAACATATAATTTTATCTGTTTTGAAATCATTTAAGAAGTTATGATATCAATTTCAGCTTCAGTCTAAAAAGAAAAAAGGCAAATTAATGAAAGAATAAATAGGGTTGATTGATGGTGTACCAAATCATCTCTGCCTAATTTCTTGCTGACTGCCCTTATGTTTAACTCAAGCGTTGTGTGTTCAGAGGCAGGACCACATTCATTACTGCTGCTTTGGAATTACATGCCTATTAAAAATTATCTGGCTAGTTTCCTGCTCAGTCTCTGGAACCCTCTTGTTCCTTTCTTTGATGAATCTGATCTCCCCACATGGACAAGGTTTTCACAGTTCGGCTTGTATTGTCTGCCATATGGGAATTTGGCACAGCGTCTTTGTACCATCTCTCACACTTTTAGCCATAAATCATATGAAAGTAGTCATGATGTCTTGGGAAGGATAGAAGCAATGATGCCTGTAATTTCCAACGTGAAAAGCACATTCGGTCCTTCTGCCGTGGACAGTGAGCTTCTCACTGTGTTAGGATCCTAGCGTGTATTCGGTATGTGGACAGTGTGCTTCTCACTGTGTTAGGATCCTAGCATGTATTTGGTATGTGGACAGTGAGCTTCTCACTGTGTTAGGATCCTGGCATGTATTTGGTATGTGGACAGTGAGCTTCTCACTGTGTTAGGATCCTAGCGTGTATTTGGTATGTGGACAGTGAGCTTCTCACTGTGTTAGGATCCTAGCGTGCATTCGGTATGTGGACAGTGAGCTTCCCACTGTGTTATGATCCTAGCGTGTATTCGGTTTGTGGATACTGTGCTTCTCACTGTGTTACCATCCTAACATGTACTGGTATGTGGACAATGTGCTTCTCACTGTGTTAACCATCTTAGCATGTACTGGTATGTGGACAATGTGCTTAGCACTGTGTTAGGATCCTAGCATGTATTTGGTATGTGGACAGTGAGCTTCTCACTGTGTTAATGATCCTAGCGTGTATTTGGTATGTGGACAGTGAGCTTCTCACTGTGTTAGGATCCTAGCATGTATGTGGTATGTGGACAGTTGTGTTTCTCACCGTGTTATGACCCTAGCATGTATTCAGTATGTAGACAATGCGCTTCTCACTGTGTTAGGATCCTAGCATGTATTTGGTATGTGGACAGCGTGCTTCTCACTGTGTTATAATCCTAGTGTGTATTTGGTATGTGGACAGTTGTGTTTCTCACTGTGTTGTGACCCTAGCGTGTATTTGGTATGTGGACAATGCGCTTCTCACTGTGTTATAATCCTAGCATGTATTTGGTATGTGGACAGTTGTGTTTCTCACCGTGTTGTGACCCAACATGTATTTGGTATGTGGACAATGCACTTCTCACTGTGTTACGATCCTAGCATGTATTTGGTATGTGGACAATGCGCTTCTCACTGTGTTACAATCCTAGCATGCATTTGGTATGTGGACAGTTGTGCTTCTCACCATGTTGTGACCCTAGCGTGTATTTGGTATGGTTACATGAAAATGTCTAAAATAGTTATCAAAAGTTATGGTGAAAGAAGCAAATCAACTTTTTCTCCCATCATTATTCACTAATGGTCAGTTACAAAAATAAAAAGTAAAAATGTGCAAGGAAAGCAGGAAAAAAGTCATTAAAAGACCAGTCTTCATCTTGTAACATGACCAAAGTTGGTTATTTTAAATGAATTATTCTTTGGGGTTTTGATTATGTAACTTGTGCATTTTTATTATAGCTATTTGATTTATTTGGGGTTGATTCTTTAGATTTGCATGAAAAGGAAATATTTCATTATGATTATGACAATATGGCATGCAGTTTCGAAGGAATGATTTTTTTTAAGGGGCGATGAGTGATGGGGAATGTTGGGCATTGAGAGACTGCTTTTTCTGTTTTAAGATAGGTTTTATTTTTATTTTGTATCAGATTAGCAGTGAGCTTTTAAAAGATATGCATTTGTTTATTTTTGGCTGCATCGTGTCTTAGTTGCGGCAGGTGGAATCTTTTGTTCTCATGTACTGGTTTCTCTCTAGTTGTGGCAAGGGTTTAATTGCCCTGTGTCTTAGTTTTGCAACCAGGGATTGAGCTCATGTCCTTGCATTGGAAGGCGGGCTCTTCACCACTAGACCATCAGGGAAGTTCTAAAGGAGTGATTTCTGTTTCTAAATCTTAGTTACTTGTTCCATCATCTTGTTGGACTTCCCTGGTAGCTCAGATGGCAAAGAATCTGCCTACAGTGCAGGAGAGCTGGGTTTGGTCCCTGGATCAGGAAGATTCCCTGGAGAAGGGAATCACCATGCACTCCAGTATCCTTGCCTGGAGAATCCCAGGACAGAGGAGCCTGGCGGGCTACAAGTCCATAGAGTCGCAAAGAGACGGACACATTATCTTGCCAGTTATACAAGCTCAGTAGGTCAGAATTAGAGTTTCTTTCCCCTAATCCTCTATGACAATCACTTAACCTTATTACAAGGTTAAATGAATTTTTTTGGGTCTGCCTAAAATTAAGATTGTTTATCTGGACCCAACTATATTCTGTAACTCTTTAAATCACAATTGGACAGACGTCTCAGAACCGCAGGAAACAGAAACTAGTTATTCTTCAGCCTGTTTGTTCCCTGCCACAGTTAATGCAGAGCCAAGTTGAGATACGTGTACAGTTCTCTCCTCCGCTGGCAGGCGGCGTGTCTAGGTGGACTGCACCGTCTTGGCCCTGGAGCTGGCACCACTTGCTTGATGATGGGAATGAGTACAGAGCGGTTTTGTCCTAATTAAGTTCATAAACGAGCTCTCTGGGGGGCAGAGCTGCATCTATTCAGATAAAAGACCTTTGTTCCTGACACTTTACATAAGCTTCCAGGGATGAACACTAGAGGCCTCCGAAGGATTCTGGTCACAAACCTCTCTGAAAATAATTCCATTGGGCATCTTATATTAACATCTCGTCCTGTGATTTCCCAGTTCTGGGCTGTGACTACTTTGTGGGTCTTGAAATAATTTACTGGGTCATCAATAGCCATTAAAAAAATAGAATAGAAAATACAAGAATAAGGGTCATTTAATGAGGTAATACACGAGTGTGTGAGTAGCTGTATATATGTATATCTTTTTGATATAAAGATTATATTTTTGGTCATAATCAAACAGTTTGAAAAACTCTGCAAGTGATACTTTGCTCAGGTGATATTTTATTAAACCTTTCAAAAAAAGGACAAGTCTCTCCATAAAGAAATCATGGATTTGATTCTAAAACCGTAATATGTAGCATAAATGTTACATAATAAAAAAATCTTTGACAGTTAAGGAAGGTGCCAAGTTGTAGA